TTTTGGAAACTAAAAGATTGAATTTAAAAATATAAAATGGCAAAGGGAGGGCTTTTTTTTCAATAAAAAAAATAAAGGTAAAGAGATGATGGTGGAACAAAATGTTCCAGAAGAAAGCTCTTCCCTTGGGGTTTCTTTTCTTTAAGCTTTGCATATTACAATTTGAAATTTTTGTAAAGAGATCCCCATTTTATATTCACACTGGTAGCCTGAATTTAAATATCTCTCTCACCTGAGATTAATACAGGCTTCACCCTGAATTACTTCCCAGCTCTGAAGTACAGCTCTGGAGAGCTCAACTCTCTGCAAATTCACTTCTCTTTTAGAAGCATAAAAGCTTATGAAATATATGAAATATTAAAATAGTGTGTGTGTGTTGGGGTGGAGAGTGGGGGAAGGCAAGTCGGGGTCAGTGAAGGGGGGCTTCTTTGATACGAAAACACACTTTTCTTTAAATGAAATCACAGATCAGTTAGCCACAGGACAAGAGCCCCTTTAATCTCCGAAGGCAAAAACATCAGCCCAAAAAATGAGAGTTTGGCGTTTTTTCTTTTTCTTTTTTTTAATCATCAGGTGCTACAAGTGGAGCAGAATGCAGTCTGGATGGGGAAGAACCCTGATTTCCGAAGGCAACAGAAAATATCAAGTTTCGCTAGAGCAAAACAACATATTCCCCACGAATGAGGTTATAAAAAAGGTGGAAGCACCTTATTATGCTAACTCAACAGTTGCCAAATCCACCTGATGGGTGGAAAGCTGAGGGCCCATTAACTAATTGCCATAGAAATCCAGCCTCTCATATAATCATTTAACCCTTGGGAAGCCCTGCCATCCGGGTCATTTCCTTGGGCAGGATACAGACACCAAGCTTGTAGGAGGCATCTCCCGTATTCTACATGTATATATACATATACATGTATGTATGTGCACGGACCCTGGGTTGAAAGGCACTCGCTACTACAGCAGAAGGGCTTCTGTGCAGCTCCTCCATCCTGCTGCAAAAAATTTCTTTGCTTGCGCTGAATCGAATATAGTTCATTTTAAGAAGTCTTTTTTCTTCTTCTTCTTTTTTCTTCTTTTTTTTTTTTCATTTCAGGAAAATGAATGTTAGCGCCAGATAAGAAACTATAGTCTGCTTTCAAGAAGGTTACAAGAAAACTGCATCTTGCATTACTAATCCTTTATCTTTCATGTTAACAAAAAAGATTACTGACATATTTTTGAATGAAAGAAAATAAAATAGCAAATGCATCTAAAGAACTGTGTAACTTTCATGCAACACACAAATCGGTTGTTAAACGTGGCGGAGAGAAAAAAAAAGGAGAGGAATGAAGGGAAAATTCATAATACATTTCCTTTTGTAAAGTGAGTGAACCAACTTTCTGTAATAAGAGAAACTACTGGAGGACTAGGAGGTGCTCTTGGCGTAAAGCAAGAACATTGTGTTTAGCTGGAGGCTGGATTTTGGGGACAGAGGAGAAAGGAGACCTTGGCCGGGTGCCTGCCTGGGGGCTCTATGCAATGTTCCTGTCCACCCACATGCTTGGGAATTGCTTTCCCCAGTTCTTTGGGACACCAGGAAACGTTCGTGTCATCCTCCTGGATACGGAAAATCTGGGAGAAGGTCCCAAAATGAAAGTTGCCCTGGAGATGTGGACCACAATGCATCACCTTGAGACTTGTCCACTACAGTCCCTTGATCCCAAAGCTGTCTAGGACAAGGGTTTTGGGGCTTCCTCTCCAAGTATCCCTGTAAACTGCAGCCCTGATCCACATCTCCATTTTCCACAAGATGCCCTGCCTTGGCAGATGGTGGTTCATTAGGAAACCCCTAATTGAATTGCCTGACCATGTCGCTCTAAACCTGCTCTGATCAAGAATTAGCTCATGACGCTCGGCCTGGGATATTCCTTGTTATGAATTTTGCCCATGCCCCCAGGCAGGCGACGATGGGCACCACTCGCAAATGTCCTTTGAGGGTCTCCCTGCTAATGTGGCTTGTTAGGAAGTCACCTGCAAAACCCCCCGGGAAGGAGCTGCCCACTGCTTGCTTGAGCTCCAATGAGTCCTAATAACCCCAGTGTAATCGCTAACATTAGTGAGCAAATGTGCTCCACCTGGAGAACAGGCTGGAGAAGAGCCCAGAGGGAGCACACGTCCCACTTGCTCACATCCCTGCTGCCAATCTCAACTCCAAGAAACCCGCCGCAGGTAGCGGCTCTGGATGGGGCCCTTCCCCGGGGAGCAAGCGGGAGAAGCACACCCGGCTTAGGGACGAGGCGAACGGAGATGAGCATCTGGGGCTCAGCACCCAGAGGAAGCATCTCCAGCCAGCACCATCTCCCAGAAAAGGCCAGTCCCAGTGTCCCAAAAAGCCCTCATTTTCCCCGAGGCTTTTGCCCAGCTTCGTGTGTTGCTCTGCTTGCACATCGCTCTCTCAGGCAGCAGTTTGCTCGCGCATGGCTCGCCAAGCTTTGGCTCTTCCATTTGCTGCTATTGCCCTCTACTGGGGACTCCCAAAGGGAAGACTGCTCCCCCGGCCCCGCTTCCAGGGAGCCCCAGGGTGGGCTACCAGCCTGCTCCCTGGCCACCCAAAATGCCAAAGCTGGAGGGGACAATCCCCAGGGATGGGATGGAGGGGGCAAAGCGTGCCCCAGTCTCACATGCTTGGGGCTCACCCCCTTCCCGCTCTGTCTTATTAATAGCTTTTTATATTTTATGGGAGAAAAAGGGGGAGGGAGGAGGGAAGAGAAGGGACTGGAGATCAGTTTCCCTCAAGACCGGGGAGTTCAGCAGCAGAGATGAGCTGCATCTCCAGTCACAAATCCTCACGAATTGTCACAAATCGTCTCTTGCTCCGGTGCAGCTCTGAGGGGCTGAGCCAATGAGGGATGGGGGTCTTGGTTGCTTTGGGGCCACTCTGGTGGGGTGACAGCTCCTGTACAGTCATCCCAGCCGAAGAAGGGCCATTTGATACCATCAGAGAAGAAGATATGGGACAGGAGCTTCCCTGGCTCCAGGGAAGGTCAGGGAGAGGAAGGAAGGGGAGCCATCAGCATGGCATCCTGCCCTGTCACCCTTCTGCCCACATGTGGGGCATCTGGGGAGAGCCAGCCTGAAGAAATGAGTCTGTCTCTAAGACTTCAGTCCTCAGAGGGTGGTTAGACTCAGCTGGTGATGCCACACAACCCAAAAAAAGCCATCGGTGTTGGACAGCTGGCCCAGATGACCACTGGCGCATCCTGGGACCATCTCATCTCACTTCCAAGGAGATGCACTCCGCAGAGCTCCTCATGCGCCCGATAGGTTAAAGATGAGGGAGGAGAGAGTCACCTCATACCAATTAATTCCCCAAGTGTAATTAACATCTGGGGCAGCTCCGTAGGCTCCCCATCTGCTAACGAAGCATGGCACCGTTTTAATTCCTGCGATGCCCCGCCATCTTCTCATTAAATCCAGGAGCGGGCTCCATCACATTTCCCTTAAAGGGGAAAAAAAAATAAAGGAAAGAGAGAAACAGAGCAGGATTTGACTCAATGAAATAAGAGAGATTAGAGTTTGAGGATAAAGAAAGTAGGAGGGGGAGGCTATAGCACGGGCAATATGCGCGGGTGCTTGCTCGCGTGTGCAGGCAGCCGGATAGTCCCTTTCGCAATGACCTCCTTCTGCCCCATCCATCAGCCTCGGGTTGGCTTATTCTAACGAGCAGCTTCTTTTCTGGTGTATAACAGGCCCCTCAGACCCAATCTGCATGCCAATTACCACAGCAGCCCCCCTGATACCGAGCCATGGAAATTAGCTGTCAAGCTCCGGCATCAGCTGCCCGGGCTGCACGGCCCTCGTTGCGGCTCGCATCCGTCTGCGCTCAGCTCCGCGTGCCACCACGGCAAAGGGAGCCCCGGTGGAAAAAAAAAGGAACCTAGACTAATAATAGCAATAATAAAAAGAAAATGGCATGTTTTGTTGTTAGGTGCAGCGGTTGCCAGCATTTGGGGTGCAATGCAAAATTCACCAGGGGGCACGAGTGGTTTGGAGAAAGGGGAAAAGAAGAAAGAAGGAAAAAAAAAAAAGAGTTGTAATAATTGCATTTTAGTGGTGGGTAGATCAAGCAATGCAATGGAAGGACGTGCAGAGGAAACGCTGCAGTAAGGGCACAGCAAAGAGAACAGCAGGAACGAGCTTCTGACTTTGCCCCATTCTTCGTGGATGTGCTCGGCCCATTCATTAAAAAAAGCAGGGGGAGAAAAAGAAAACGGGGCCTTGCCGTGAGCTCGCTGCAAAAAGCATGGCCAGGTCATGCTCAAGGGCAGCATTTTGCCCTCAAAAGTAGCATGAGGTTCTTGGGGAGCTTAGAGGGGAACCAGGCAGAAGCCGGCACCTGCAAAGAGGTGTCAACACAGTCCATCGGTCACATGCTCCTGGAGCCCATGGTTTTGGGTGCAGCTGGGGGACCCTGGCAGCATTGGAGAAGGAAGAAGAGGAGGAAGAAGGCTCCCTCCAAGCTCCCACTTTGAGCATGAGGACGGTCCCATCTCACCCAAGGCCTCTTCAGAATCCCAGGGCGCTGGAGCTGCCCCTGTCCCTAGCCCCACGTGCCGCCACCAGCTCCGCTGCGCTGTGACAAGCGTCACTTAACCTGCCTCCCCGCTCCGTAATAACCTCATATATCACGCGGGAGGGGGCTGCGGAGCCCGGCCGCAAGGGCTCTGCTTCCGCATCCAATATCATTATCCTGAGTCCCCCGGCCCCCGCGCTTGATATGCAAAGAGGCCGCCAGTCCCCGGGGCACCCGGCGGAGAGACGGACAAGGCGCTTCGGCCATGCGCACAGGCCCAGCCTGACATCTAGTGGCACTGGACAAAATGGGGCTGGCAGCTGGACCGCTTGCACTGGTTGCCCCAGCCAGGCCTACGGGAGCCTGGGAATAACGAGAGGCCCAAGGGAGCGATTCCATAGCTTTATTGAATGCCGGGTGGCCCCGGCCCTGCTCCCTCGGGCCTTCACTCGGCGATGTTGCGGAAGGACTGGACGGCGGCGGTGCCGGCGCCCCAGTCGACGGGCTTGCGGTACTCGCCCTTGGGCAGCAGGTACTGGCGGCCCCGATAGTTGGGGTGCTCATAGAAGACCCAGACGCCATCGAGCACCCTGCAGGCGTGGATCTCGCGCAGGTGCCACTCCTCCATGACCGAGGGGCAGTCCTCGGTGGCTTCGAACATCTGCCCGCCGAAGTCACCCTTCTCGAAGACCTGAATGTGGCCCCGGCCTCCACCTGGCTGGAAACGGGGGAATAGAGTTGCAGACGCACCATGGGGGAGCAGCTGGGGTGACACTTGCCCACATGGCACTTCACCCACAAAGGGACAGTAAAAACACACCCTCATGGGGGCACCTGCCAACACCGGGATCCCCACACCAGTTGTTACCCCTCAGCAGCAGGAAGACAGAACAGACCCTCTGCGCTCCCAGTTCTGTCCCCAGTGTGGCCCAAGAAGGACCTCAACCCTAGTCGCTCCAGACCTGCTCTGGGAGCAGCTCCCCTCATGTTGATGTTACTTCTGCCAGAGCCAGAACAGAGCCATGACTTGCTAGAGGCACATGAAGTGCCCGTGTTTGCAGGGAATAAGACCTGGTCTTGACTAGGCCAAGTGACTCTGGTGCCACAAGGCACCACCCTTCCTTGAGGAAACTTGAACCGGAGAGGGTGACATTTGTTTCCCAGGGGAAAAGCAGCCCAAATGCTCTCTGCTGTAGCAGAAATCTCAGCAATGGAGATGGGGAGAGAGGGGAGAGCTTCTCCTTGGGGACCTTTGCAGAGAGGGAGGAACCTGCCCCCTCTTTCTGCCAAGAGCAGTAGGGACCACAGAACAACCAGTGCCCTCAGTAATGCCAGAGGTCCATGGAGTCCCCTGCCTGGACAGTCAAGGTTCTGGGGAAACCTGGGGGTGAAACCACTCTGCTGGGAGCTGCTACTTCCCATGGCAATCTCAGCTTCCCCAGAGCAGAGCTCGCATCTCCGTAGGGCCTTCCAGGACCCCAGGAAGAAGGATGCCACTCGCAAGCGCACTGAATAGACATGAGGCACACACAAATTAAGCTCCCCCTTGAGAACCAGCCACACTTACTATCTGGATGGTTTTGCATGAGCCCAGACGGTCGTTAAGGCCCATCCAGTAGTGGTAGTCAGGATATTCCCCGTGGGTCAGAACGTACATGTTTCCAGCAAAGTTGGGCCTCTCGTAAGCTACCCAGGTGCCCCCTTCCACCCGGATGGAGTTGCAGCGGCTCAGGTAGGTGTGAAAATCAGGGCAGTCACTGTCACATTCATAATAACGGCCTAGGAAGTTCTTGTCTTCGTAGAAGGTGACCTGCAACACAAGCAGAAGAGGGAAAGCAGGGCAGCTTCTCGTCCTGCTGTACAGAGAAAGGAGAGGACACCACACAGAGAAGTACCTCTGCCCAAAGCACCAGGCTTCTTAGCTGATGTTTCCATTCCTCCCAGACTGCCCAGGAGACTACAGGACTAGTCCTTGCAGTGAGAACAGCTGCGTAGACACGAAATACTTGAAAACAGAGCTCTCAGAAGACATAAGCAAGTCCGGAAGCACCACAGTGGAACAGGTCCAGCTGCATCCAAACTAACCCAGGCTGCAGATCTATCAGTCAGGCTCCTACACTCCACACTGCCACCAATTTCTTGCCATTCCCACTTGCTGTCCCAACCCAAAACTCCCTTGGTGAAGTCCCTATATGTGCTTGCTGCAAAGAAAGTCTACTTTATGTCCTTTCTACACTCTCCAGATCAATAGCTACTGAAGCAGAGCTAAGGGAACCATAAACGGTTAACACAAATGGTTAACAGTTGGTATAACTGTTCCATTTCCACAGATCAACTGTTTGCAGATAGGCTTTGACTGATAAGGGGTGGTGAGATCTCTCCGTTCACAGGACATGCTTTCTAGCCCTGCAATTGCTCTCCTTGTCCACCACTTTATCAGCCCATAGCTTTGCTTTCTATAAAGGCCATGCCAAAAACCAAACAACACGCTCCACCAAAGCCTTTAAAAGGCCACGAAAAGCAAAAAGAGCATTATGCTCTTACGGTTGGCACAGCTCTTTGTACATCCAAGGATGACATCTGCAATTGGCTTGTTGTGTTCCAGCACTTTGCTGTTGTTGTTGCTGCAAGTTTGGGATACAGCTGACCAATTGCTAATCCGTCACCACGCTTCTTCCTAAAGAGGTGCCAACAACCAGGCAGCTGATTTAAAAGTGCTTCATTTAAAGCCTTTTTCTTTTCTTGCCTGTTTCAAAGGGATCTTGAGAGCTGGTGAGCAAATACATTCCCATTGCCTGAAGTCTCAACAACCCAGCCAGGCTTGGCAACATGATGTTCACGTTCTTCATGCCATCCTTGGAGATCCTTCACCGAGGTACTGCCAAGTCCCATACCCAGGCCAGTTGCTTGTACAACCCCATTTCTAGACCCTTCCATGCATTAATTACCCATCGAGAGCTGTTCTTTGGAATAAGGATGCCCAACTACATCTCTCACTTGTCTGTCATACTGCGAAGTCGGGCAATGGCAAAAGCATTACCAACATGTAGGACAACCTGCTCACTACTTTTCCATCCATATAGCTTTACCAGCTGGGCACTAAGCACCCACCACCCTGAGCAGACATCTGGGAAGCTGGACTAACCATGCCAGAGGATTTATGTCCTTGGTTTTGTGTTCCTTACTTTCCAGAGACTGATCTCTCATTATGAAGGAACGTGCACATACAAAGCAACTCGTCCTCATGCCTCTCCCTCCTGAGCAAGCTATGCCCATGTTCAGTGCAGTGGAGGCTGGGTAGATCATTACCATCTTTCCTGCAAGTAAATAAAGGTGGTAAAAGGCCAAGGAAATCACAGCAAGCGAGTAACATCCTCTGCGGAGCTGTATGCAAGGATGCCCCTCTTCACAGCTGTCATCCTCCACAGATGCATCACCAACTACGCTTCATTGCTTAAAAGTTGACTTTTTAGTCAACTGAAAGGAAGATTCCTTTGATGCACGTCCCCACACTGGCTAACACAACTGAACTCAAGTTTGGCAAAGCCATCTGTTTCCTGGAGGATACTTTCCCTAAAAGGATGCACAAAGAAATCTGAGAACACACTAAAGGTCTGGCCCAAGAAAGTGAACAACTAAAAATCACAGTTCTTTGTCTTACTCTTCGAGCATTTAGCAGACAGCTTAAGGAGAAGGCTCCTGCCCATCTATTCTCCATCACAGCTTGTTGCACACCCCTTCCTTCAGTCCGTGTCAGGTAGCAGAGCTGTTCAGACTCAGCGCTCCTCAGCTTTCCTCCAATGGTTCAGGAGCAAGCACAGCAGATGGATGTTTTTCACCCACAGGATGATGACAGGTGAATCACAGATTTCAATTCCAGATTCGTCGGTTCCTTTCAGCCAAATCTTGCTCAGACACAAATCGCTTTCCTTCAGCAAAGCCATCAAGCTGCTCCATTTACGGCATCATCCTGTTAACCGCTCACTGCCCAAACTCTGCTTGGGAGCTTACCTGGTAGGGAACAGATCTTCCTAGCACAACCAAAATATTGCCACTACCTTGGCCGCCTTGTAACAGTCATCATCTTTCTTCCCAACATCACTCCTGTTACACAGGAACTTGTAAGTGGGAACAGCACAGTGTGGTAGTGCCCTCTGCTTACTAAGGAAACGGCACGGGTGGACAGCAACCCCTTTTTAAGGTGCATCACTTGCTTACGTAGCAAGAAATACTATGTTTAGTTCTTTGTCCCTTTGTTTCCCCCTTGAAATCTGTCAAGCAAGAGCATGGCACAGGGGACCGATGAGATTTGCATTCTCATTGACCTAAGGCATCTTGAATATTTTGCTGGTTGTAGGCTGCTCAGATAGCAAAAAAAGCAGGAAAGAGAAGCAATAGGTGACGTGTCTTCCAGCAGGCAGGAGAACTGAGCACGGACTGGCTACATTCCCAGCCCCTTCCTTAATGCAATGTATGGCTCTCCCTACTTACAGTTTAACAGCTACTGGACTTCAAGTCACACACCGCACTGGGTTTCTAAAAACCTCTCCAAAAAAAGAGGTCAATCTGAGCCAAGGTCCCAGGCGAAATGTGGAATAAAGCAGAGACTGAACCCACATCTTGCATAACATAGCCCATGCCTACAAAGCTGCTCTACCTCTGAGCTTTCTGCCCCTTCGGCTCTGCTTCTCCACAGGTTAAAGAAAAAAAATAATGCAATGGAAAACCATACACTTCTCCCCACCATCTGCCTGTCACAGAAGGCACAGCGCAGCCTTCGCTCCGCAACAGGTTGGTGGCAGCTGCTGCTGTTGTTGGGACTCCGCTGCTCCCAGGAGAGCCTGCCACAAGATTGCTTCCTGCAACTGCTGCTCGTCACGCTCACTGCTGAAAAATAATCCATATTCCTAACTCCTCCTCCATCCTGCGTGGGCAAACAGGAGCTGTGCCCCTTCGTGGAAAGGCTATCCTTCACAGACTGCAAATAAACTTACCTTGGGTCCAGCTCTGGACATTTTCTGTTCAAGCCCAACTCCCCACTGCTGGAGGAATGTCAGAAGCTGTTACAACCAGCCAGGAAGTGCGGCACCCTTTTTATAACGGGCTCATTTTAAACCAGACAGCCGCTTTGTCATGAGAATAGGATCCAAAAATTGAGTCAGTGATTCTGAGGCTATAGCCGGTTTCTAGAAAAGCAAACAGGATTATGGAATAAAGGAAGGCTCTGCCGTCCTCTCTTTGTTACCCTTTGCTGAGTCAGGGCACCAAAACTCTGCCAAACGCACTCAAAACCCCCAGCCCCCTGCCAAGTCCTGGGGGATGGAGGGTGGCATTTTGGCTGCTTTCTTCCTTGTAAGCACAATAAACAAGAAGGCACCATAGTCAGCTCTAAAAAGGGCCGTCCCTGTTTGTTTTAGGGCTCAGTATTGAGAGCGTTCCCACGCAACGAAGGATGCAGCTAGGAAACAGGGAATACACTTTGCAAAGCACAACCTCTGCTCCGAGAGCTCACAAAAACAGCTGTGCAGCAATCAGGCTGTATATTTTCACAGTACATCCTCAGCTGAGCAATATTGCTCCTAGCAGTGGCTGGCATAGAGGGGAAAAAAGGCATTTCTGGCTCACAAGGGGATGATTTCAGGCCTGAAATCATAAAGAACATGCCCAAACTTTTGGCAAAATTAACGAATATCACGGATGTAACTCAGAACTCTTGCACCACTGCCTGCTAGTTAAGAGAGATCCTTCCCCAAGCCACCCTGCGGCCCACTGGGCAAGGAGGGGCAGGAATTCTGCTTTTTGTATGCCCGTGCCCCCCCAGGGCCAGCACGTCAGGGAAAAAACCCTATTGACGGCGCCAACCCAAAGGCTTAGGGAAACAAAGGCAAGTGAATCTGGCGCAGCAGCCAGATTTAAATCTGTCAGAACAGGCAATCTCAACAACAACTCTACGTACGCTGCCACAACGCCGCAACGCTCGAAAGGCATCTCATTTCCTTCCACTTCCAGGTGTTTTGAACATCTGGCGCTGTTGCTCAGAGCTCTTACTCTTTAGAGTAAGTTCAGTAGGACATTTGCAAGCTCTGATGTGGTCACTTTGCACGTCACTCCTTTAAAAGCTCGTTAAACACATCACGGTCAGGTTCCTGATTCCTAAACTGCCACTGCAGCAGTGGGTCAGCCCAGGAAAATTGCCCATCTCCTCTGAATATTTGAGACGGTTTCCAAGGCCAAAGGATGAACTTAGCATAATTGTTCTGTTTGCATATAGTGATAAAACAGAAAGCTCTGCATTTCATTAATGAAAACTGGGTGGTCTGGAGAGCACCATCAGATACAAGTGAAAGTCCACATCTATGGGAGAAAAAGAAAAGAGTAGCATCATCACAAAAAGCAAGCAAACATCATCGAGCAGCATCTGCAGATAGAGCTGGGCAGCTACTGCACCATGTCCTACACAAACACCAATGCCAGCATAGGGATAAACTGTAAATACTTCAATATAAAATTTGTCCAGTCTGGCCTAATGCTTTAGGATTAGGTCACACAGGTATATTTAGGATTAAGTCACACAGTCGCATACAGGTATAAAAACCCAGGTGGAATTACAACTAAAATAGCAGTCCTGGAGAATGAAGCAAACAATCGAATGGAGAATATGATTTTATATATACACACACACACACACACACACTAAAAATACAATCTTAGGTATTATTCATGTGTATATATACACTTATGATGTATATAATTTTATACAATTCGTACGCCCGAGTGCTGAATCCCACTATTTTCTTCAACTGGGATATCTCTTCACAAGTCACATGCTGCTGCTGTGCTCGGTTATCCATATGGTGCCACTGCTCTTTTGGCCTTCTTAATTTAGGTACTCAGCAATGACCATGTCTCTCCAAGACAGGGGCTAGCAGCACAAAATGAGAACGGGATTCCCAGTCTTTACAAGGAATTTTTTTTTAAGAGATAGAAAGCAGTGTTTATGTCAAAGCGCTGTGTTGGGGCACCCTTCAAAACCCTCAGCTCCACGGCTCTTAAGGCTTTAGCACTCTTCTCAGCTCACAGATTCCTGTTTTATTAAAGCAATAAAGATGTTGGGACTCGTTACCAAGTTGAGGTAAAAGCTTTTCCCTAGAACATATGCCAGACTTATGTAAGAATTCTGTTTTATTGACATTTGTCAAAACAAAGCAAACTTTATAAGAAAGGCAATGCCACAAAAATCTAAGTGCCATCTTCATATTTTAAAAAAATCTATTGAATTTCATTCATAAAAAATAAAATCAAACATCTGTTTTTCACATTTATAAAAACAAGGCAACTGTCTTGTACCATGGAGCTGCAGGTGACAGCCAGGAGCTTATACCCAGCCCCACACCAGGCTGAGCTCCTCTGCCAGGTGTGTGCACACCAAGGACACGGGCCACGACTGCCTCCCAACTGCAGCATCTGCAGCAAGGGGCAGGCAGCCTTGTTCAGCACCCTCTGGTAACATGCACTTCCCTGCTTATCAATAGCACAGCTATAGCACGTTCCTGAGAAAGCCAAAGGGATTAAAAATCCTAAACCAGCCAAAGAGTCCAATCCATGCTGAGGCTGGGCATCACATCCACATCAAGGATATTGAGCGAGGGTGGCTGCGAAGCGTTAATGAGAACTGTTTTCAGGACATCTCCATCTGTTCCCAGAACTCTGTAACAAAGCAGAGCAAGTTTTATTGGCACCGACAAAGCCATTAAATAGCTAAGACTATAATAATAAATAATAATAAAACTGCAATTCTAAGACTACAGAAAAACAAGCTTTGTAATAGCTTGAAACATGCGACAGAACAGTATAATAAGGACCTAGCCCTGGTTCCTAAACTATTTCCTCTTGGGAAGGGAGAGGAAGGCTACATATTAAGAATTATGTGAAGCCTCCTTTAATTCTCTTCTCAAGCAGACACAGGTAAGTATGGACATTAACAGGCAGCTTCTTCAAAAGCACAGCTGATCAAATAAGATTTGACATCAGACTATACACAATATGCCTGCAGTCACATACATAGGTCCCCAAGAAATCAAACTGCACGTATACAGAGACAGAAGCTGGAGCACACAGAGAACAGATTTTGAAGAGAAGGTTTTGACTCCAGTTTTGGACTAACACCAAAAGCAAGGCTCTTGGGAAGCCAAACATTGAATGGCTTCAGACTTGGATAGACTGGACACACAAACATGGGACCATTTTATATACAAGCGAAAGAGGCCCCGTACTCACCCTTCCCTCCCTTTTGCAGTCCAGCAGCACAACGCTATCCTGCCACCTGCTTGGAGCCTATTGCAGGGGGGACAAGGCTATCCAGCTGCTGACGATTCCCTGTTTGCACCAGCCATTCGTAGAATTTGTTTTCCACCAGCACTTGGAACTTCTTCCTCTGCTGCCTGAAACCCAGAAGAGTATCAGGAGGGCAGCATGCAAAGGTGACATGTATCCGAAGACTGTTATGTTTCTAAATCTCTTTCTTAGGTCACAAGACGTATATATCGGCTAAATAGTCGGGCTCCTCAAATAGAATCTCATTATTGATAATTAATACTTCCTTTGTAAGGCTTCTAAAAGATCCCTTCTGTGATGGAAGGGGAGAAGGGAAGAGCCACTCCATATTTATCTGTTGATTGCAGTGAGGCCTGACCTCCTTTCACAAAAGCTACATTGATTTCTCCATAGTCTATCACGCATCCATGTGACCAGTGATTATATTTTGATTGTCCTTTGCCCATTAGCACAGCACAGGCAGCAGTTTTGCAAGTCTCTATCCACTCAGACACCTCCTGGATTCCTCCACAAAAAGAATCTTTCCTCTGGGAAGGAAGAAAAGCAGTGCTAGCCCTCAAGCACCAATGCAGTTTAAGGAAGAGATTACAAACTACAGTTAAATGGTTATTTTCCTCTCAAGTTCTTCTGAACTGTTTTGGTAAAGAACATTTGCTCTGGTTTATCATGACGATTTGCTCTCATACTATCAGTTCCCATTGAGACACTCCCTGACACATCCCCAGAAAGAAGAGTTCTAGGATAGGAACTACCCTAAATTCCTCCCCAGTGAATGCGAACACAAAGACAGCCACTTGTTTCTTCTCCTTTAGTTTTATCTTTTCCAAGGGCTTATTATATGCTTTGATCTTCCACTGACCCTGAAAGACTTTGTCTGATAGGTTTGGAAAAGAATAAACAGGATTTTATGCTTTTGTAAGTTGCTCCTCAAGCTCTCTTACTGGTCCTGCCTTACAGTACATTTTACACTTAGCCTGGCAGGGTTTACATTATTCCCCCCTCGCTTTCCCCACTACAGATAACTTCAACTTTTTGAAGGATGTCTTCTTATTTCTAAGTCTCTTTCAACCTCACTAGTCAAGCATGGCATTTTTTTTTCTTTCTATGAGTCTTCCCAAAGCACTTGTTCTCTTTAAACAGATGGTATTGTGTCTGCTCTTCTCTTCCTTACACAGGAAGCTAAAATATTTTTATTTCACCACCTGTTGACCATTTTCTTTTCAAGAAAGCTTCTAGAATTTATGTAGTTTTCCCTCTTTTATGAAATAAGTCACTGCAGCATTGAGCTCTTGGCTCCTGTGATTGCAAAAGGGATGTTAAATCTAAGCACATCATCTCATTACCAAACATTAAGTTTTTGACAGGAGAAAAACCTTTGCAAAACTCTGAGGTGAGAAGCAATAGCCCTGGCATGAAGGACAACGGCTGGAGGAGCAAGAAGCACCTTAAATGAGGATGATGAACAAACAGATGATTTGAGCATGAGGGCTAAATTTGCAGCTTTCCTCTCTGCACCCTCAGAGACTGGAAGGTTGGAAGGTTTTTACACCTTGATCACCACTGCTGGATCACTATGCTCAGCCACCCTCCACCCCGACGGAAATCCTGCCCCAAAACTCCTCCTTCCTCATGGATTTCATGAGGTAAGTCACATGCTCTCACTACCAGAAGGGCTCCCTCACCTCAGGGGCCAGCAGTACCTGCACTTGCTTTTCCTTGTCTTTTGCAATTCGGAAATCACATTCCTGACAAAGCCCTTTCTCCAGGGTAACAGCTCTGAACGTTACTTCTCTCACTACTGTAACACCAAAGATCAGGATATCAGGATAACTAATCCCCGGTATGCTAGGAATGGCCTGCAAGATGCAGCTCTCAGACAAGCCCGTTTCTAAAGTGTTTTTGTGCAACCACGTCAGGAAAGCTTCTGCTTGCAGGGCTGAGCTTCAACACAACTCCCACATGGAACTCCTGTCAGGACGCCACACTCACTTGGTCAGGCCTGCCTCCTTGACAGTTTTCTGCCAGTTCTGTACCTTCTGCTCCCGCTGACTCAGGGCCTTCTGGTAAGCGTGGGGCAGCCCCCCCGGTGTTTCCGTTGTGTCTCCTTCCATCTCAAAGGGGATCACAAAGGTGTAAAATTCCGAGGGCGGCAGGAGGCGGAAGGCGCTCGTGTCACTGCTCTCTTTGCACACCAGCATGGGGCTGTCCCAGTAGTTGGGCACAGTGGCCAGACCCACCTGAGCCATGTGGTCTTCCAGCATGGGGTAATGGGTGTGGAAAGGAGCCAAGCTGACTGCTTGGTTCCCCGAGAGGATGAGAGGCTGCGTAGGTGTGAGAATGTAGAAAGTGCAGCCCGTGGTGGAAGAGAGAGACAAACGATGGCAAACAGCAATGACCTTGACATTGTCACAGCTGTGGACGTGAACTGAGGTCTGCACAGGGCCGAGGACGAACGTGCTATTCCGGCACTTCTCAATGGTCACAGATCTGGCAAAGAGCAAGGGAAGACACCATAAGCCAAAAAGAAAAAAAATTCAGACCCTTCCGGCTGGTTGGCACATCCCACTACAACGCAGCACTTAAACAGACCCGTTAATTGACATTTGGCTGTGGCACAAAAGAACAAAAACTCACCGCAGTGGCGACAGGAGGTAAATGAAGGACTCGTTGCAGCGATGAATTCTTACGTGAGCCCCCACCAAGGTGTCAGAGCTCTTGGCCAGTGTCTGTTTGTACACCTGGCTCATGATCACCATGGGGAAAAACACCTCCGGGACGCCGCGGGCATTACAGGCGATCTTGGCTCTTCTGGTCGTGCCCTCAGCTGCAAAACAAGTTACACAAGACACTTAAGATGAACAGAACGGTGCACTAGTCACATCACTTAGCAACCACACAAGAAAAGCATCAGCCTAAGGCTCCAGGGACAGAACTGTGCGACTGTGCCACCTCATACACCAGCCATTCCACCACCAACAGCAACTTTGCTGTCCCATCTAACACATTGCCACTCTGCCTAGCGTACAGTCAGGGTGAACAGAATATTAACCGTATTATTTTCCTCTAAGCTTAGAGGTTCCTGGCTCCACTGCCATGTCTTTGAATGGACTCACAGTCCTGTGTCTGCACAGAGATCCAGATCACTCCTAAGCTTTCCCACCAACACCCAAGCATCCAGAGACAGATCCCTACTCATACGGAACCCCACCTAGGCAAGGAGCTGAGGCCGAGAAGCCCCTTGTGGAAGGGGAGGCAGGTACCTTGCTGCGCCCAGGCAAGCTTCCTCCCAGACCTGAGGCATGCAGTCATCCCAAAGGGGCTTGTCGTGAGGCAAGAGCGTATCCAGCTCTCCAGCTTGGTGAAGGAGAAGCCTTTGGAGATCTTCGAGTAGCCGTTTTCCCCATGAAAGGGCTGCCAGAGGGCAAGCTCATGCAGAGGATGGACAGTCCCCGACCTGTTCACAGTGCCTTCAATAAGGAAGCTGAGGGCACGGACAGCTTCGCAGGAGACCAGAGGCCCTTGTGCGGAGTGGAAGGAGGCAGCGAGCTGCTCCGGCTCCAGCAGCAGCTCCAGCATATCCGAGAGGTGGCTCTGCACGAACGCTTGGTGCTCCTGATCGTTCCAGTTCTTAGCAGGCAGAAAAACAAACAAGAACAAGGTGAGTTCTCCCAAACCTTGACAAGTTTCATCAATATTACACAAGACCTTGCTTGCACTAGAATCACAGTGGCTCTCAAAAGAAAGCAAGTGAAACGCGCTATTCTCTCCTCCTGCTCACCACTACGGCCGGTCTGCACTTCCAAAACAAACCAGGGAACATTATTAACTCTTTTACTTTAAAATTACCAAATCCTCCTTCACTTTGTCCCAAACTCCAGGTCACTGTGCCACGTGGCTCTTAATGTCACAGACAGTACAAAAATGTGCTGAGGTTTCCAGCTGGCCTTTCTAATGCTGCTGACAGCTCGCAATTAGCTCTCACGTCCAGAGCAGACCACGAGCTGGGGCTGATAAATCCAGCCTATTTATTTAGAAACACTTGATGCAGGATGTTATCATGTTCACACGACTTACCTGCAGCTGAGCAGCTAGGTCACCTCTGTGAGGCACAGCAAAGTTCACCTAAAATCTAAAATCATCTAAAATCTTAATATTTCAACACGACTTAGAGAAACGACTCAAACTGAATGCTGACTTTGCAGGCACGCACCAGGCACGGCCGTGCGCCCCCTAGATGCTCTTGGAGCCACTTAAATACCTTGTTTTGGCTGTGGGGTTTGCCAGCCAGGCTGGGAGCCTTGGTCCTGGGGCTGGGCCACTCATCTCCAATGAGCGAGGTGCGCAGGGACACCTTGTTGAGCTGCTGGATGTAGAGAAAGAGCAGGAACTGCAGCGTGTCCACCGAGAGCTGGGCGAGAAACAGCAAGTTAGAGGGGAATAAACGGGAAGCAAAATGAGGGGAATCTCCTTCGGGGAAGGGGAGGGGGCCCTGCCTGCCTGCCCTG